ATCTACATCTTCATGTTTGTGATCATTGGCTGGGGTGGACTGGTGCGTTACAATAATGCTTGGATGAGAAATTGATGTAGAGCAGGGGTGTCAAACTCAATTTAATCGTGGGCCGCATCAACATTATGGTTGCCCTCAAAGGTATCTGTAAGACTGTATAAATGTATCTAATCTTTATCATAATTGCCTCTGCAATCGATTATCACTGGTTTTAGTAATAACTTAATACCTAGATTTGAAAGTAGAAGTCTAGGAAATGGCCTGGTGGGCCGGAATGGGCCCCTGGGCCATGAGTTTGACACATGTGATCTAGAGAGTAGGTAACCTATGTTCCTATACCTATGTAAAGTACACTTCTTGAAATCCAGACTCTCTATTGTGGCATGAAAATTACAGAGCAAGTGTGGCGATAAAGACACCTGTGTGTATAACATAGAATACATTGATGCAGTTTAGCTTTACCTTACTATATAACTGATTTAGAAAGTACATGAGGAAAGCCACTCTTATGTGGTTTCCATCACAAATATATAGTCACTGCAATGCCACATTGACTTGACCTGGAGCACGAGGACAGATGGGACATGCAATTTCTTTTACGTTCATGATCAGCCTCTTGGACTTATAATAAGGTAATGTGCACCTTTCAGTATCCTCTCTATTAACACACAGCTCTAACAGTGACAGCTGATAATTAACTGAAACTAAGTAGCCAATACATAAACCATGCAAGTCTTAAAGTAGAACTAGTAGCCAATACATAAACCATGCAAGTCTTAAAGTAGAACTAGTAGCCAATACATAAACCATGCAAGTCTTAAAGTAGAACTAGTAGCCAATACATAAACCATGCAAGTCTTAAAGTAGAACTAGGGTCTCCCATTTAATAATATGTGCTGTACCACCTAAATTTAAGTGCATCCACACTTACAGTTTTCACTTAGTTGATCTGCAATAGCCTACAAATACATGTTGAGCCTACCAGTGAAGTCCACCTAATGCAGCTTCCGGTGATAGGGTGGCAATGATGCTGCACTGCTCCTAAATTCAGACTAGAGTTGTCAGTCTCACGTAAGCTATGCCTGCTTGCCAAGGATGTTACAGGGGTTGTGGCTATGAGCACTGTCACTGCTAATTTAAAAGCTTGTAGCTGGTTGGTCAGCCCCTGGCCACACCAAGTCCTGCCCACTGCTTTCTGGATTGACAGCACTGCCTCTGTTGCTGAAACCCTCCCACAGTGAGCTGCAGTGTCTGGGAGGGGGCTGTGCGTGAAACACAAATTAAGGTGATTTGGCTCAGTCAGGGAAGGAAAAGGAATTTTTTGTTTACTTTATAAGGCTTGTGCATCACACAGTAACTGGATTTGAGACTTGTTTAGAGTGTAATACAGAAGAATTATATAGTAGATATACTTTATAATATTGAGCAGCTGCCATTTTTCTTGTATTGCATTAATGCACAGCTGAGATTAGCTACAGCAGGGTTCTTTGTGTGTATGCATCATATGAATGAACAGAGCAACTCCTAAGAAAGCCTGCTCTCAGTTCAGGTAATGTTCACAGTCCCACTGTAGGATACAGGATACAGAGATGCCTTGATACAACTCTTCAGCTTCCATGTATATTTCCATATGTATGCAACTGAGATCTCTGTTTTTAAATTAAAACAGATCAGTCAGTTTCTCTGATGACAGGCAGGATGACTAATAGAGAATTTACGTTCCATTGTACATTAAGCTTCAATACCACTGTTTTTGTAGTAATGCAATAACATGCTCTCTGGTAATGTTCAACTCTCACAATACGCTCTCTTTTTATGTATATCTGTAACATCACTCTTTCTGGTAATGTGCAGCTCTTTACCAATCTCTGATAGTGATAAAATGCAACATGATAGGTTATATGTCAGCGGCCTACTAGCTTATGAGTAAACAAATCAAAGCTCTTGACCTGTCAAGATCTGGCAGCAATAACCTTTACTTCTCCATTAAAAAAGAACTCCAGCGAGAAATGGGATTGTTTTAGGAATACATTGCATAATACTATTACCAAGTGCATACCATTGGGTAACAAAAATAAAAGATCAAGAGCTAAGCCTGCATGGCTAAATAAAATGTTAAAACAACACATCAAAGAAAAGAAGCTGGCATTTAAAAGATGTAAGATGGAGGGGACTGAATTGGCATTCCAGAGCTACAAGGAATGTAATAAGAGATGTAAACATAAAATCCGGGCAGCTAAAATAGATTACGAAAAGCATATTGCCACAGTCAGTAAAAAGAATCCCAAAAAATTTTCCCAATATAAAAACAGTAAAAAGGTAAGAAAAGAGCAGGTCGGCCCAATAAGATAAGAACGGGAGATTAATCATAAACGACCCCGAGAAGGCCAAGGTATTAAATAAATTTTTCTCCTCGGTATACACTCTAGGAAAAGATGGGTTTAATGGAGTAGCTTAGTGGTAAAATACCGCAGTGGTTGATAGAAGCCGGGGTTCAACAAAGACTGGAAAAACTTAATGAAAATAAATTAATAGGACCGGATAACCTGCACCGCAGGGTACTTAAAGAACTCAGTCATGTTATAGCAAGACCGTTATTCCTCCTCTTTAAGGACTCGTTAATGACTGGAAAGGTACAAAGTGACTGGCGTAACGCAACGGTAGTACCAATATTTAAAAAAGGCTCATCATGCCAACGTGGCAACTACATACCAGTCAGTCTAACATCAATGGTATGCAAACTGTTTGAGTGAATGATAAAGGACTACTTAGTGGTTTTTGTTTGTGACAAAGGTATAATAAGTGAAAAGCAGCATGGATTTATGAAGGACCATTCTTGTCAGACCAACCTACTAACATTCTACGAAGAGGTGAGTAGAGATGTGGCTAGAGGAAAACCAGTGGATGTGGTATATCTGGATTTTGCAAAAGCATTTGACACAGTACCACACAGACGCTTAATACACAAGCTGAGATCTATAGGCATACATGAAATGGTGTGTACATGGATAGAGAACTGGCTACATGAACGTGTCCAGAGAGTATTGATAAATGGCTCTTTTTCAGATTGGTCTAAGGTTGGTAGTGGCGTTCCCCAGGGTTCTGTGCTAGACCCCATACTGTTTAACCTGTTTATTAATGATATTGGGGAGGGTGTTAATAGCCATGTTTCTGTGTTTGCGGATGATACTAAGGTAAGGTGCGTGGAAGCCGTGCGACCTCTACTACTGTAAGGTCGCACAACTTTAAACTTACGAACATGTACGAAAACCGCCGAGCATCGTACGATGTTCGACAGGTGTGTAGCATGTTCGTACGATAAAAGCCGGACAAGTCGGTGTGCGCAAGTGTACACTGCCCGTTCGGCATTGCGGTCATCGGAAGCCCGCCCCTCAGGGGGGCGCGGCTTGCGATCATCGCAAGTATGATCTGCCTGTCCAAGATAGGCAGATCTTACGTTTTTTTAAGTACCTTACAACCATCGCAAGACAAAAGTCTTGAGATGGTTGTAAGGTGTGTGCACAGCATAAGATTGGAAGGGTAATAGACATGGGCGTAGACAGTATAAAATTACAGGAGGACCTGAATAAAATAGGGGAGTGAGTGAATATACAGCAGATGAGGTTTAATGTTGAAAAATAATATTAAAAAATTATATATTAATATTATATTAATAATATTAAAAAAAAGTAATGCATGTTGGGGTTAAAAACAGGCAAGCAAAATATACATTAATGGGTAATCAACTAGGGAAGTCAGAAATAGAAAAAGATTTGGGGGTCATAGTAGACCACAGATTGAATAATAGTTTGCAATGCCAGGCTACGGCAAACAAAGCTAGCAGAGTGCTGTCTTTTATTTAAAAAGGGAATGTACAGTAGAGACAAAGCAATAATTTTGCCACTTTATAGATCTCTGGTTCAGCCTCATCTTGAGTATGCGGTTCAATTTTGGTCACCAGTCCACAGAAAGGATGTCCTGGAGCAGGAGAGAGTCCTAAGAAGACATAAGCTATGAGACAAGGTTGCTAAATTTAGACTTGTTCACGCTCGAAATGAGGCGATTATGAGGGGAGATGATTTTAATGTACAAAATGCTTAGTGGTGATGCAACATCCGCAATAAACTTTTTACCATAAACTCCATAACAAAAACTAGAGGCCACCACCTAAAATTGGTCAGGAAAGGTTTAACGACAAGGGGTGTATGCGGCTTCTTCTCATTCAGATCGGTTACATTTTGGAACTCTTTGACACAAGCAGTGGTATCAGCAGAGAGTATTGAATCAAAAATCAATTAGATACTGTCCAAAGACATCGTAACATACATGGGTACAGGTACTCCTAAAACCAAAGACCACAAAGAGACTCGTATGCACACATGCACACTTACACATCAGGGTTCAACCTCAAATACTATGTAACTATGTAGCCCCACCTCTTTATTTTTTTAAATCTTCAGTAATAAGTGGACCTTGTGCTGGAGTGCAAGGTCTGCTTCGAGTGGCAGGTTTAGATGCAAACTCCATTTAGCACACTTCTAGCTAAGTGTATGCACACAGTATACAATGGCAGTTTACTTAAAAATTAAAACCACAGTGTCCTGTTTTGTAAAATTGAGTTAGCCGATAACTATTTCCCCTTACTGTATTGTTTGCATCTAAGTGGTCTGATATCAGCCCACCAATCATTATAAACTACAGAGGGGTTGGTTACTTCATTCTGAGCAGCCAGTTAAAGACATTGCCCCACACAGAAGTTGCTCCTGGCCAGACCCTCAAGAGGAAGTAGCCAGCCGCTGGTGTGGACGGGTTGTCCCATACTGTAAACAGTGAGTATACAAATGGTCTTTGTTTTTGTATTCCTATTTCTTAGGTTTAGCTTCACTTGAAAATGTATGTTTTTTTAAAGATTTAGATGCCCAGGTTATAAAAAAGTTTTGTACAACCACTGCACACATGGCTAAAATTGTAACTACTTTCTGCCATTTTCATGTACTTACAATCCATAAATCTGAGGGGCAATTTCCAGTCTGTTGAGGTGCATATATAGTTCTATGTCATGTTTCTTCAGTAGCTGGTCTTGGATATTGTTGACTTTTGTCACAATAGCAATGGAAGGCCCAATGTCCTGAGGTCTTGCAAATGGCGGGGTTGAGATCAATTCATCTTTATCCTGCAATGCAAAAGAAAAATTAAGAGTTGCAGAAAGCATGCTATACATTTAGTGAATTAGGAAGACAAATTAAAAGTGTATCAAACTCCAGTTTAATATACAGATTTAGAATATATTCATGTTTTTTTGTAAGCTCTAAATACAATATGAAAAGTCTGATGTTCTTAGAAGCAGAGAGGAAATACATTCAGAATTCCTAAAAATTTAGGTTGATAACTCAATACAAAATTATCATCATTGGTTTTACTGTCAGTGGCCAATAGTAAGGTTTGATCTTGATTCAGGGTTTGTGGCAGGAGAGCTAGGCTCGTCTAGGCACATTGTACGACAGCTTCAGCCAGTGAGACAATTATTGTTTTTTTTAGACCCACTTAAAGTTACTAAACCCAGGATTTAAATCTTAAAAATGCATTCAAGCAACTAAACTATTAGCAATACTGTACCTTGTTTGTGTATACCTCTGCTGTGGATCCTCAAATTATCTCTGAGTTTGTGCTGACACTGTCCTTCCTTCTGGAGGGTCACTATTTTTGTTCCCGGTGGTTCCTGTGGGTGTTGTAAAGTAGCAACCGCTCCAAGCTTGTTCTCGTGATACACTAAAATCTCAGTTCTCCATAGTCCCTGTGTGTGTTGTAATGTAGCTACCATTCCAACCTCATTCACCTGATGGACTGCAATCTAACGTTTAGTTTACTAATTTGTATTGAGATTGTAGCCTATCACAAGAGCGAGCTTGGAGCAGTGGCTACTTTATACATTTATCAAAACATTTTTAGTCCTGCAATAGATGGCTTTCACCTAGCTGTAATGTGTGTATGGCTGGGTTCATCTCTATTGTTTAGAGAGTCCCAGGATAAGGCACAGAACACATTCAGCGCCAACAAAGGCGGACTCTAGAGAGTTATTTTTCAAATGCGCTTTGTTGATTCGATGACAAAAGAAGGTTATTATGAAAACCTCAAATTTATATTGGCTACTTTTTTCTGCCTGTGGTTTACCACGAAGGCTGAACTGTAGGAAGCTGCTACTAAGCAGTGTAAGAGAAAAAAAATCAATGCAAGTAAATGAAAAATATGCAGAAATATAAATGTGACATTTAGCAGATGGATGCTTGTTTCTTACCTTACGAGAATCATGCTCACATGTGGAGAACCAAGGCTCTGCGCTTCCCATAAGGTTTGAAAACAAGGCACTAGAACAATAATATCTATATTATCAAAAGTGAAATGTAGCATGCTCAAGATATATTTATACATATGTGTATATAATCTTATTTATATCAGTGAAACCATACTGCAGTTTAGTTAAACAACGCCTCACCCTCTAACACAGGCACAATAGCAAGTTTGGGTGTGTTGAGGGTAGAAAAAAATATAAATATAAAAAAAACAACATAAAAGCTTAATTAACACTAATGCACTGCAGTATAGGGAAAACTTAACAACATGTGCTGCGGCACTCTGCCATTCATTTTGAATGGCTCCTCATTGCACATATATAGTGCAGTACAATGTGTCATAGTGCACAGAAAACATATGAAAACACTTATCGTGTGGTGTGGTGAACTCCACTGAACAGAATAATGCAGGTGCATTTTTACCTGCATAGCGTTTTGTTGATAACCTAATCAAAATGAAAGGCAAAAAGAATGGAACTGAAGATGCTAGCATAATTAGAGCTAACAAGATAGTATTAGAACATAATAGCGCTAACAAGCTATTATTTTAATAACAACTAATGGTAAAATGTGCTTTAGGAAAAACCATGCCATCTTCTTTATGTTCATCTCTGCTTTTGACTGTAGAGACCAACATAGAGAGTAGAGACAGTAGATATGGTTTCATGTTTCTTGAAGTATAGTGAGTTGTTTACTGCTGTCAACAACCCCAGAACTCCATTGCCCCCACACACTGTTCTTAGCCAAACATTCCAAGAGATAGTAGGGGAAAACAAGATAAGAAAAAACCTAGCACAGGCTTAGACTTTGCGACCCCTTACTTTAATACCAGGCTCAGGACCACAAGGTTCATTATAATGACAATAGTCTGGGCTATCGATTAAGTTTATTAAAAAAGGTGCAAAGGATCTAATGAATCTGCAGATTACAATAGTAAAATATGAATCGATTCAGACTTACTAGGCATCATGTTCTAGGTAATCAGGATTCAACAGAACCTTCATTTCTTCACTAAAAAGATATACACATATTAATTGGTTAATACAATCATACAAAAAGATGATGTCAATAAGAACACCAGTTTAACAATAAGATTTAGAGAGAAAGAACACAACTTTTATTTTATTTGCAAGGCTAAGATTGGAGGTGAAATAAAAGCTTTCTGGGCCATGTGCACAACTTGAACCAACACCATCCTTCTTTATTATAGTCTCTGTATGTGACATGAAGATCAAAATCTGACTAGTAAGGTTAATTTAACTGTATGCTTCAGACCAAATACAGTGCCGACAGTAGTGTTGCAGTGATTTGAAGGAGCGACGTGATACAGTACAGGCTCACAGCCTGGTCACAGTGACAAAGAAAACAAAAGCTGCGGCCGAAGATACCAATCAGATGACCGCTGCCAATTTCTTAACTTCATTACAATAATAATAAGTGGAATCTGTTCTAGTATTTAGAAATTAGTAACTCTGCATAGACGTGCCTTTCCTAGTTCCATTATCTTTTCTTTCAGTGCAACAAGGAAAATGAACATCCTCTATAATTCTGCACACAAAGTATTTTTTTTGTTGTTCAGAAATATACATATTAATAAGCTTTTTCAGATAAAATTCAGAAATGCCAATATCTTCTGTTACAAAAGAATAGTTATTTTTCAGCCGCTTGTTTTGGAACAGAAGAAATAAAAAGCAGCTTTTTCTTCCAAGCACCTGTGACAATCATTAATCCTCTCGTTATTAGTGTAGAACAAATGAAGTAACATTAATCAGTGGTACCTAACCATTGGCATATATTACTGCCAGATAAGCAAAGAATTTGAGAGGAAGGCATCCAGTCCACCAAACTACTTCCATTAAGAAAAATAATAATATAAATATGATATGATTAATATATGTAAAGGCAGAGAGAGAGAGAGCAAGAGAGAGAGAGAATATTAACTATCTGTAGGTTATTACGCTTTCTGCAGACAGGTCAGTTTAAAATAAATAAAATATTTTACGATAATATTTTCCCCACAATCCCTTTCATCACTTGCATGTCTATTACCACTGCGCAAACAATGGTGTAATAGCCAAGCATAGTTGTTGACAAAACATGTGAATTTTTCTGATACCCAGAGATGTTTGAATTATGTCCATTCTATGGCAAACATAAAATAGCTTAGCAATCTTTTGGACATATGAGCTGCACAGTGATTAAAGTTCAAATTTAAAACTGGTCCAAACACAAGACACTTCGTTCTCATGATAATGAGCTAGATGTTTAGTTACCGACTGCAAATTGTGTTTAATTTTTCTAATACTACAAAGCTATTACATAAAAGTTATGCAATAGCCTTTTTAAAGTGACACTAAACTCAGGAATTACATTTAAAAATACATTTAAGTACCATAACAATTAACAAAAAAAAGTACCTTATTTGTGTATCACTCAGCTTTAGATCCTCAAATCATGTCTACATTGGTGTTGGCACTGTTCCCCCTTCTGGAGGGTGGCTACATTTGTTCCCCATGGTCCCTGTGTGTGTTGTAAAGTAGTCACCACTCCAAGTTCGCTCCAGTGATGGACTACAATCTCAATATAAATTAGTAAGCCAAACGTGAGATTGTAGTCCATCACTGGAGTGAGCTTGGAGCGTTGGTTACTTTACAACACACACGGGGACCAAGGGAAACAAAAGTAGCCACCCTCCAGAAAGAAGGACAGTGTCAGCACCAATTCAGAGATGATTTGAGGATCAACACCTGAGTGATACACAAATAAGATACATTTTTGTTAATAGTTAGGATACTTTAATGCATTTTTAAGATTTAATTGCGGAGTTTAGTGTCACTTTAAATAGAAAAGTGCTACTTCTTATATGCTAATTAAAGTGGAACTCAAAAAAGTGAAGATTTTCTATGTTACAGGAAACTTCCAGAAATGTTAATTATACTTAAGAAATACCCTGAAAATGCTATTGTTTTGGAATTCCTCCTGAAAAATAACAGTGTACTTCCTGATATGTAAGTGCCTGGGCACTCCTGTGCCTACAACGTCATAGCTGTATATCTGCAGTGTGAGATCTAAGGCACTGCTGCCTCTGACTACAAGTCTCAGGAGATTAGGAGTGCTCACAGTTCTATACGATACGCTCTGACATCAGGAAGCAAAACCCTACCTCTACCAAGAGTTGCAGGGAGACTACAGGCAGTACGAGTTACTAGGTGCTCTCTACCCGTCTATTTCTGGGCACCTAGAGTTTAGTGTCTCTATAATAAGTGCAACAAATAAGCATTACTCTGAGGAACTGCACAGGATTGGGTTATCTAAGCATCTACTGCTCCAAGAGTCTAAAATTAACCTAGATTTTTTTTTTCAAGAAATCCTGAGTTGTTCTTTAAGACATGCAGTTATCAGAGAACATTGCTAATATATTTCATATATATATGTTAGTAATAACTTTCACATGCATGTACATTTATGTTACTGTCTATCTCCAGCCAATCCTTTTGGGGGTTTAGATATAGTGGGGAAGAGTAAATATTTCTTTCTGTGACCATATTTCTGAGATTTTTTCTAGCTTCCTGTTCTTGTGACACCTGTACAACAAATGAGAGGTGCAGTTATCACCAATAAAAGGAAGTTGCAGACAACAGTCAAAACACTGTTTTGACTGTTTTGACATCAGATGTTTTAACCTTTCCGCTACAAATGTGTCTGTATTTGCATGTGTTTTTGTCTGTATCCACATCGAGAAATTTTCCACCACTTCCTGTTCTGACAGAAACTGATGGAAAATCTCCCCAATACACACATAGCAAAATCCTCTTCAGATATTCAGAAATGAACATATTCTCACCTGGGCTGTGCAGCTTCGCTTGCATGCATGAATGCTTGATGATCACAATGAAGTATAAACAATATAGGTGCCAACAATTCATGCATTCCCTACAAGAAAAAAAACAAAACAGGAAGCAATCGGTTAAATAAGGGCAAAGACAAATGATGAGCAGCTTGCACATCTCCAGGCAGTGACAACAGGTTCACCAGAGTTGTAAGAGAAGTCCTCTACATCAAACTGGAACAGCAATCCCTGAACAGGCATGGGTATCTTTGACAACATCTATCGTAATGCTGTGTTCACATCTCTGTCAAGGCAATGTAACAAAACAATTCACACCTGCAGCCCATGTGATTCAAACAATTAACACTGGTTTCAGATTTCTTGGCACCCTGGTGACTACATTATATAATTAGAGCAGGGTGGTTTCACAATCTTTCATACTACCACTGTTCTTGGACAATCAACATCTGCCTTGAAATGTTGGCAATTGGATTAAGATGACTAAGCTGTCCATGTGGTTATAAATGCTGGTACATGTCCTGACACTGATTAGAGCTGAAGAAGCTACTTGGATGTGCAGAGAAACGTCATCAACATTACAGAACAAAAATAGCTGAATGTAACTTACTACTAGTTATAGGTTTGAGGGCTTAGCAATGAACAATCAAGCACACAATGATCAGCCCCACTCACTGATGTCAGTCCCATGGCTTTCTAGCCTACGCTAAGCAAATTAAATGGTATAGTAAAAGGCATTCTTTTATGCAGAGCTACACTTGCCCTCTCTCCAACAGGAACATCCTGCTAGAAGAAACATATCGGACTTCCCCAAAGCCTGGTTTAGAGCACTTGCAAGGAAACCCTCCCATTCTTTTTCTGGCTAGCCCGCAGAGCAATTACACAAATCTAAAGATTTCCCCGTCCATGGTTTTGTCTTCCTCTAGAGTCTAGACACCAGATATATGATTGACTATTTTCCAGTCATTTGGGGCTCCTTTGCCTCCTTACAACCTATAATATTTGGTAAGAGAAGAGAACCCCTCCCCCCCTTCCATAAACCTACTTTGGAAAAGTAGATGAAAACGTAACATTCATATATCATAAGAAGGCCTTTGTATGAACAGAATTTTATACTCGATAACCTAACAACACTTAGCATCGTATATTTATAGTTCTAAACTTGAAATATATGCAAATTCAGCTGGTTTGAAATCAATATATAATTTGCTTAGCAAAAACCTTTAGATGAAAAGTAATTATATAAAATCAAACCAGTGTTCTTTATTAAGATATTTATAAATTATCACTTTACACCAGCAAGAGCATAATAGAAGTTCTGTGAGTTTTCTCTACACATTTTTTCAAGTTCAAACCACACAGATATATACAATGAATAAAGTGTTAATAGAGATATTTAAAGGTGACTTTAAACAAGAGATCAAAGATTTTGGAAACATCACCAGTGGGGATTAAGTAGATATCATCACCCAAAAGCCCTAGTTTCTTACATCTCTCTTATCCCAGGTATTCAGGTTTATGCTAAAAACTGCATCCACAAACATCTAGAGATGAATGGAACTTGCCTGCAACTCCAGCTGTTTGTCAATATGTATGGGCACATATACTGGACATCAGGTACCCATAGCCCAATATTTTTAAAATAAACAGGTTAGATGAAAAGTTTTTAGGGTATTGTTAGCACTGCAAATATTAAATCAAATTAACAAAATAACAGTGTTAAAGTGATACTCGTCACCAGTCAGAAATAAATCTTAAAAATACATTCATGTACCTTATTAACAAAAGTGTATCTTCTTTGTGTATCGCTCAGCTGTAGGTCCTCAAATCATCTCTGTATTGCTGCTGGCACTGTCCTTCCTTCTGGAGGGTGGCTACTTTTGTTCCCATGGTCCCCGTGTGTGTTGCAAGGTAGCCACCACTCAAAGCTTGCTCCCATTATGGACTACAATCTCACGCTCAGTTTATTCATTTGTATTGCCGTTATAGTCTATAACAGAAGCGAGCTTGGAGTGGTGGCTGTACAACACACACAGGGACCATGGAGAACAAAAGTAGCTACCCTCCAGAAGGAAGGACAGTGTCAGCACAATTTCAGAGATGATTTGAGGATCTACAGCCGAGTGATACACAAATAAGATACATTTCTGGTAATAGTTAAGATACGTTAATGCATTTTTAAGATTGAAATCCTAAGTTTAGTGTCACTTTAAAGGGTAAGTCAAGTCTGAAATATCCAGCTGGCAGTGTTTTATAGGGCACTGTTAAAGTGATAGTTTATTGTCTCAAAGCCATGCTTATTAACAGCACCAACATTGTCCAAGGCATACTGGCTACAATCAGTGTCTGGTCATGCAGAAAAAAACCTCATAAAAGTAGACAAGAGGTGTCTGATTTTACACCGAGTAGAAGTTAGGACTGCAGCAAAGAGAAAAACAAAACAAAAGAAGAAAAAGAAAGAAGAGGTAAAGTTTTCTCTTTGTCAACAGCCTGTAGGCTCGCAAAATTGAACCTGTTCTTTATATGCCTGTGTTCATTTAGCCCACCAAGCAGTCTTTATTAAAGCTGGAGCATCAGGCAGTCAAAGTTCATTAATACCATTTATGTAATCTATGCAGTTTCAATTAACTCAGCAAGACACTCTACTGCATGATAAGAGTCTCATTAATTCAATAAAACCCTATAACTATTAACAATATGGTCTATGTTAAACGGGGTGTCACCTACTACAAAATAATGGCTTTAACAGCTTGTGAGGAGACTTAAGTTTTTCTCTTCTTTTAAATGTTATCGAGTTTAAATATTCATTCCTTATGCAGAAAGGTGTTATTTCTCTGTAAGGCATCTTTGAGATATCAAACCCAAGCAGGGGGTAATTAAGCTGTTTTAATTCTTACCCAGTAATAATATTACTTTCTAGTTCAGTAAATGACAGACTTTGTTTAAAATTATAATCGGTTCCCCACTTCAATGCTTGACGTGCCTGGGGTGCATTCACTTAACGCTGTGGGAATGGACACCGTTGAATAATTACGACCAAGTGAATTTATAAAGGGAAAAAAAAAAATTGAAAATAAAAAAAAATTGCTCACCATTAATTTTTATTTGGCTTAACGATTCGCTTTTGCATCGCACTTAACATAGTTAGGAAATATGCATTTTCTAACTTGTTTATTGCTTAGTTAACGTAATTTGATTTTGGAAAGTTCTTTAGTGTCTCTCCCAATGTTCTCTGTCGAAAACTAATACAAATACGGCATTAACTTGAAAATGAGGCTCTTCTAGCAGGCTCCCTAGGATCCTCCAAAACTCAGATGGCTGTTAAATATAGCAAAGTTCTGTTCACTCTTCTCTAACACGAGTTTGGAATATACTTCCACTTTTAGCCTTTCTTCAAGTTGCTTTTTAATGTACTGAATAATCTCTGGAAATGTACGATGTTACTTGTTAAACCCCAGGGGGGGGGGGAATTGATCAAAACTGGTAGAGAAAGAATCCAATCAGCATCTATATTTCATTTTCAAAGACTAACTGAACAAACTGAACATAAAAGTTGATTGGCTACTATGGGCAACTGCTCCAGATTCTGTCTGTTCCAGTTTTGATACATTCCTCCCAAAGTTGTTTATGATTTTTTTTTTGTTAAACACATGGCTTTTCACCCAGCCACTCCAAACATGCATTGTCAGCTGAGGTTAAAATTACAAAATAATGGTGTCAACCATTTAGTTCTTGAACTGTTAAAGTGATATTAAAGTCAAAAGGTCTTTAGGCTATTTCACATGTGTATTAAATCACTTACAATGGATGCTGCTCCTTCATGTTGTAAATTTTTAATTTCCTTCAGAATCAGCTGTTCCCCCTGATATCCTCTTTTATCCTTTATCTTGCAAGGTCCCATGGAGCCACCCTTTTTGCCCTAGTAAGGTGTGTCTCCACAAACACATTGGCACAGTAAGATAAGCCACTTCCCTGCTTCCCCCTTCTCCAAGCTAGTAGATGGAAAGCTGTTGGAGACTGCTCCCTTGTGATCTTGTATACAGGAAGTTCAGGGAAGCCAAGCTGAGAGAGTTGGACCAGCTGTTTGGACACATAGGGGGTGATTTACTAACCTAAACACACGCACGCACCAGGTGCGTGTGATTTTCACACAGCAAAACGTATTTATCAACCAAAAAGTCTCTAAAAGCATATTTCCACTAATACCATATATGGAAAAATCATGCACATGATGCATATATAATGCTGCTTCACAGTTTAGACAAAAATGGTTAGCTCATGCATTTACATTCCTGCATTCATCAACGCAAGCAACACAACATAGAGCAATTCATGCAAGGCTTTGCACAACACACCTGCCGGGTGTGTACACACTACAAAGGTGTTTAGATTCCACCCATAGATCATGCTGGGAGGGAACACACTACAGAGGTGTATACATGTTCGTGGTGTGTTTATAAGGTTAGTAAATCAACCCCATAGTGACAAATAGTGGGCAATTTATATTTGTTTAATCTGGATTTGAGAGTTTAATACAAATATATATATATATACTTCCAAAAGAGAGGCCAAAACAATGGCTAGAGGTGCCTGTGTTTTATACCGGCTAGCAGTTTTCTCTTTTTTTTTTTTAAATACGAAAGTCCCTTGAAAAGGTTTTTCTCATTTCACTGGAAAACTTGTGGGCAGAGCCAGGGGTCAGCCTCTTAGTCCCTTGCTGTTTGTGGATTGCTTTATTTTGGGTCCTTGAGCAAGCACAATGCTTTGCCCTCAAACAGGGAAACCTAAAATGAGTTCAGAAGACTGAAGCTGACTTAAGCAGAGCGGTCCTCTGCAGACCTCTATCTGCCAAACACAATAGTCCAAGTTTGCGTAAGATTTATACTGAAGAAATCATAATAATGTGAACCAGTCACAAACTTTTAAAATTGAAACTGCACACTTGCAAAAAATGCATGAACACAGGTTACCTTTAGTCTATAAGCTATCTATAATCAGCATATCCAGAGATACAGACAGCTGATGCTATACTGTATATAAGTTTTGACTTTTCCTGTAAGAACTAAGCTATGCTTTATCTCATTTTACCAGTGGATGCTTCCTATCGTGATGGGTGGCCAAATTAATTGGCGTTACAGAGTAAAAGCGCGTTCAGGGAAAGCACACGTGGATTTGTCTGTGTGTCCTGTCAGATGATATTGTTGTTTCTCTTCACATCGGAACGCACCAATACATTTGAATGTGGCAGTCTGTGAATTATATGGCTGTTAACCTACACTCTTCTCATGGATTAATTCGAACTAAGATGAGTATGCTACTTTGTGCATCAGTCCAGTCTTCTTTCAACTGGTAGTTTTGTTGCTATGTGGCTATATAGTCTCATTTGATCGGGACTGATCTTCAGCAAGTGTTATATTTATGTCCATCTACACTTTCAAATGACAGCTCTAGATCAAGATTATTACTTTTATTAATTTGTTCAATAATTCTATCCTTTTGGTGTCTCCACGTGTATGGTAACTCACTCTCGTGGAGATCGGGACTGTGTAGCAATCGGCTAGAAATGTTTCATTCATGCATTTATGGGCTATCCACTCTAAGATACTTGGAGTTTTTTTGATGAGTTGCTCTTGAGTTGTTACTTTTCAGCTGTCAGACTCAATTTGATCCTAATTGGAGACAAGTTATCTGTTTCAAGGAATTGTCAGCTGAATACTATTTGCCTTTTGTTTCAATCAACTCATACTCCATTCTCGGTGGAATGTGAACTAGCTCCTTTTGGGATTCTATTTCCACTGGTATCTTCCACCAATGTGAAGCATTGTTTAAGGGATTAATGATTCATGCCCTCTGCACTGGATTATCATCTTTACTAGAGCTGTATGGTCGGCCACACACATCACCTGTTTTTTCAGTGAGACGTCTCTGAAACAACATGTACTATTATTTTGTTTTTCATAATTTCTTGCCATTAGACTGTCCATCATCCAGGCTCCATTGACATTATCAGGATTGTATTGACAATTTAGGTTCTATTGACCCCACTAGGATTATATTGTTTAATAATAATAATTGGTGGTCTGTCATTGATATGAAGTAACCATTTTCTCCGGTGTCTTGTTCTACTAGAGATGGTTGTTAGGTCATTATTGTAGCACACACTTAATGATTTTGATCATGTTTTTAATAGATTATTATAATACATTTTGATATTTTTTATATATATATTTGTTATTTGCTCTTTGTTTTCCCAAGGAGTATATCCCTTTGGGTGTTATCTCTTTCTTGTGGCCAAATTAATTGCTAGGGAAACCTGGGAAGTAGTAAGGGGTATGGCTGGGTTGACTTTCACATGATAAGTCAACATATCCATACAATTTCAGATGCCTGTACTTCTTGATTTAACAATCATTTGGGGTTTCACAAAAGGTAACTTGTGGCAGGGACGTGCAAGTCAGGGGAGGCAGAGCCTCTCCTAGTATTATGGAGGCAAAAGCTGTTTTCTGCATTCAGAGCGGCTTCTAACAGGTTACACAGCAGGGAAAGCCTCCCTGCTGTGCAACCTGTCAAGGACAGAGTGCTGCCTGTTAATTACAAAGCGCCATTGGTCCAAGCTGCCCAATCGAAAAAAAAGAAAACACTGAGGACATCAATCTCGATGCCTCACCAGTAACGAGCAAGTGAGGGACAGGGAGGCTCCTCTCTCCTTAACACTAGCTTGGTGACCAGGGTTGGTGCTTTGCCTGGATGGGGGTGGGGCTTCAATGTGCTGCGGGCGGAGATTCAATGTGCTGGGAGTGGGGCTGTAGGGAATGCCTCACCCAGCACGGAAGGTACCACACGTCACTGACTTATGGGTTAGCATTTTTTTTATTTCAGTTCATGCACTTACTAGTTTACCAGATATAGGTCTGTTTAATACGCTGGGATTGCGGAAAGATGAAATTAGTCTTGCAGTAAGAAAATTCAGTAAGTTTGGGGACATAAAGGCACTTACAGGGGCTTAAGGAAAGATAAAACTAGAAATCCAAAGCTGAAAAAAGATGCAACGCAGAGAAGGGACATGGATTTGGTAGAATTGCATGTGCTGCCTTCTGCAATTAGGGATGGTGTAACACCAGAGTACCAGTCTCACCAGTGCATTCTTTTGGCAGGTAAAATTGTTCTTCAAAATCTTTTTGTCATTTAACTTGTAAATCCTGTTCAAACTAGATATACGCTAAGGCACACAGCATTTGCTATACACAATTCTTCCTCCATGTGATAGTAATCATGTCTGTACAAATAGTTGATGTCGGTAATGGAAAAAGCCATAGTCTGGAGTTGAAATGGTCAATATAGGAAGGTGCTCGACAAAACCTCTGACGTGTACTTTTCAAAAATTAATGTGCAACACTGGTCTATGTATACCGATGTGCCCTCCTGCACTCATTGCAGCATATCTAGGGCCAATAACAATAGTGTTGCTCGTAGTGATAATCACGGATGGCGCTGTGTACATAAAGTAGTAGAAAGTGAGGATCACCAGCACTCAGCAGATGATGTTCTGCCGACCCGAAGCCACACGAAGCAAGCCGATGTACGGCTGAAATTAGCCGTACCAGCCTGAAGTGAATAGCCACTTCACTTCAGATCGGCCATTCACTCGGCTGCCCTCGGCAGCTTTGTGAATAGACCCCCTAGTGTTCATTTATTCAAGCAAATTGTCACATATATCACATAGGCTATTTGACGATTTGCTTGAATAAATGAACACTAAGATTTGAATGTCATCTTCTGAGTGCTGGTGATCCTCACTTTCTACAGCACTGGTCTATGGTCACTCCACTGGTCTTTCCTGTCAATAGCTCCCCAGTGCGGAATTCATTTCAGGAGCCCATTAGAGCATGATTTCATATAAATTATTTTTTTTAGTTACATAATTGAGAAATGTGCAATTCAGTGCAGAACTCTTTTATACTAGAAGGTCGACAGTGATAACTTGTTAAGAGGAACACTGGTGAATTTCATCTAGTGGTTAGATATCATTACTGCAGTTTATGCCTTCACGTCCACACATCCATATGAAAGGTGTCACTCTCTTATAGCAAGGCTCCCCAGTAATCTTCTTGACATTATTGAGATTACATTTGGCCAGCATGAAATCATAATTTGGCTTTGAAATAACTGCAGCAAATGGCTAGAACAAGGGGTCCTCAGAAGGCACAAAGCCAGCAACCATGCAAAACTAAAATATGCATACATATCAAAGTAAAGTATGACTGGAATTAAGCTTTAAACTCATATTTGTAACTGAAAAAAAAGAAAACAAAAATGTGGAGATTGAAATCACAAGTTATTATTTTCCTAATTGATCTCTATTGACCACATTAAAGGAACAAGATGCTTCCTATTAAATGTAGCGTGCAGTGGAGCAATAATCAATAAGACACTGTATTGCATTGTATATAAATAATGTTTATCTTACCTGCTTATAAAGCAAATGATCATTTTCTCTGGCGTAGCAGAAAAGTACATCAGTAAGGATGTTTCTTACATTCTCCTGTTGGAAGAACTGCATTTCTGGAAACCTGGAAGATGAGTTTTGAAATAGGATTGATGTAAGTGGATAGAACTGGACATTAAGACCTCATTCAGACGGGGCGTACATGCCCGTGCAGCATGCATGCCTGCACGTCCAGGAGGGGCAAGTGCTGCTTGTAATTGCAGGCAACAGCCTGCTCTTCCCTATAGGAGGACGCGGCTGTACGTTGTCATCCGCACACCCAAACTTGCACATCTGTGCGGGATCGGGTGTCCGCACTTGGACGCACACTGTCCAGTTGCGGATGACAGCGTACGCCTGTCTGAATGAGGCCTAAAGCATGCCTAAGCCTGAAGAACAAAAACGTAATATATTTCGGATTACCAGAACGTACATGTGGTGTCTGCATTCGTTTCCTTTTTTAAAAGCTTTTAACGTTTATTAAATTCCAACGATCCTAACAGAAACACACTTCCTGTCCTTAGGTCATAACACACACTTAACATACTGTCTCTATGATGGAGCTACAATACCTTGGTGGTGGAGCCGGTCATATGACATTGACAGATATACATAGAGCTCTTTGACTGTCTAAGGTGCAGGAATATATTTCTCCATAGGGCTGCTGAGTGCAATGTTTACTTTACCCTAAACTACAAGTAATGCCATAATCTTCACACCAACTTCCATCATAAACTAAACATTTTTTTATCAAGGTTCAATTTTCATAAAAAATTTTATTTTCCACGTAAAACTTATATCAATTCAAATGGGTTTTTACTGAGGGATACAACCTATGCATTTTGTAACTAAGAATTAGAGGACATATTTTTAGAAAAAAAAGTATACATACGTTCTTTTAACATCTTGATCCACCATTGCTCGTAGTTCTTTATCTTGGAAAAATTTATTCCAGAGGCTCTGGAAATATAAATTGCATATAGTGTAAATTACTTCTAAAGTTCTATTTATTTCACAAGAGTAATCTGGAAGGATTGTATTGGTGGAGCTGTGGGGTTATTTACAATGGCACTGCAGAAAGCAAGGTTTATAGTGTAGAAACCACATTTCTCATTTTATGCGTTTAGTATTGCAAAAACACTGAAAAATGATTGGTTGCTAGGGATGCTTCTTGCACCTTGCGTGTGTGGCTGTGAAATTAGAAAAAAAACTATAATACCCAAAATTGCCTATAGGCGATGCCTTTCCAGCTCATCAATTTAGTGTTAACAGTGATTGATAGGTCTAGAATTGTTGCTCTCACGCCGACATTTGCAGTGATATGTAACATGTGTAGCTCGATTGTTTGTTTTTTTCACACATAGGTGCACCCGATGCATGTTTGCGTTTGTATGTGTGTGTACGTGAGGGCGGGGGACTTTGAAAAAATTTTTTGGTGACTTTTTTTTTTTTAAGCTTTTTTTTTTTACACCTAACTTTATTGATATTGTATATGATAGCAAAGAGGAAGTGGCAGGTCCTCTTTATGGAGACATCTGGGTCTATTAGATCCCTAATATCACCCATGGAACCCAAAGAAGCTGATGAAGCACGGATTGTGCTTCATCAGCTTCTTCTCCAGCCACAGCAGCTACAACCGCAATTACTGTACAGCTGTCAGAATTTCATCTTTCAAGCAGCCTAGAAAACTTTTGTTGAGTTGGACAAAAATCGACTGAATTATTGGCATTTTCGTACAACAAAAATTGCAAGATGAAAACTGCACATGCGCAATCGAAAATCTGTTCCTTCAAACGCCAAAATTTGGGCAGTTAGTGCTAGGGACTAGGGTTGCACAGATACCAAGTACAGTACTCGGTACAAGTACGAGTACATGTACCGATACTTTTGAGCTCCAAGACTAGACTAGAGAAAAATCCAAAAATTAGGAGGCAGCTGCCATTTGTAAGGGGCACACAGAGCTCCTGGGATTTGTACATCTCTGTTTTAATGTAGGATTTTGTTTTTATAAATATAAATAAAGGGATGCACAGATACCAGTTTTGCGAGTACGAGTACTGGTACTTGCCGAGTACTTACAAGTACGAGTACTGATACATTTTTGTTTATTGTCATGTGACAGTTTTTCTAAAACAATACCGACTAATGATTTCAGGACAGTGGTGGAGTGCCAGAGCCAGGTCCCGGCTGCAACCCTGGTAGTTCTCATGAAAATGCCAAGTATCTGCACTGGTACTCGAAAAGTATCTGTGCAACCCTACTAGGGACGAACGATAATTGCAAACTACATTGGTCTGTGCATGATGGGCTGTTTGAACGAAAATTGACCGAGGGTGAGATGTCGGGACCAAAAAAGTTGTACAATGGTTGTAAGGTGTATGGCCACCTTAAAGGTGAATCTTTGGCCTAAATATTTTGCGCTAGAGAATGTCCCTCTTTCTCCTCAGTGTTGTGCTAGATTATGACCTGTATGGAATGTATTCTTGCAAATTTAATGGATGGTCCACTTTAAACACTCAAACATCAAAGTACACTTACCCCTTCATCCTGAGACAGTGGATTGTTTATCATTAAGTCCTGCTGGCCAGCAGCATTTCGAGGATTTGTTATATGCTAAGATAAGAAAAACAGGAAGTCATCCACGTATGCCTTAAATAAGCAATGTTTTAACTCAGCATCTAATAATAGAAGAAATATCACTTACTATTTCCTTAATCTTTTTATACCCTGTTCTTAACTCCTCCGTTTTGGTTATCCATTGGCTTCTGTCTAGGGGTAAAGCATTTAGAAACAGCTGCCAATAAAAAATGGAAATGTGTTACAAACAATCTTAGGAAAGGACATAAATTACCAAGGGAAAAAATATAGTACATTGCAAAGAATACTGAAAGAACATTGCAACAGAGAGATAAATACAGATGATACGTGGCACTCTAGCATTATGTTCTTTAACAGTAGAAGTATCCAGTCTAATGGTGTTAATTATACTTATTTTGTTCCCCAGTCCACACATATTCAAAATTACAGGCGTGCTTAACTTCCTGCCCTCTGTGTCCTGTTCTGCAGTCTTCCCGTCTATAGAAAAATCTTGGACACAAGAGGGGGTGATGTACTGTGCTCAGGACTGGAACTTTGCAAAAGGACATCTGTAGATCAACAAACACAGACATTTTTTTTTACTTGTCTAAGTTTGGTTACAAAAAAAATTATTTTGGGGGCACGTAGGCTCTCTTTATCTCCAAGGTGACATAGCATTTTAGGACCCCTTGATAAATAGGGGCAGCACGTCCAAGAAACAAATTGTTTTTGGTGAAGTAAAACAGGAATTCCATTGTGTAGCGCTGGTCTTTGCTTTGTTTTCCGTTTACATTTTTGTTGTAATTGCGATTGTCCTGCATCCAAATCCTACCATTTTGCTGCACAGGTATGAGTCTGGGATGGTGCTATACATACACCTGTAAGTCAGAGCACAGGGGCCATTTATATTTAAAAAATGTATGAACAGACTCCTTAACTGCTAAGGTTTTATGAACTGAAGTTACCTAAAATCTGTGAAGTGGCTTTGATATGCAACTACAGACACCTGAAGTTACCTTTATGCCGACTATGTCAGTAACCCCAAATCCCAGTGGGCACTCTGACATGCTAATTCAAAACCACCAAGAGCTTGGTCCTGTCTCCCTTCTACCTTCTGTATTTCACTATTTGACCATCAGAATTTCAAGCGGTCAAACTGGCCAGGAGTTAGTCTCTGGAGAAGGTAAGGCATGCTAAAACGGTACTTACCTAAAGTTTTGCCTGAACTTCCCAGCGCTCATACATACCACACTCTCACTAATTCACCCCAGTGTCAAAATCATGGTGCCTGACTAATGCCTGACAATGACTGTAACCTTTTTCTACTATAACAAAGTACACCTTATTCAGGGGAGACAAAAACATGTCATTTTAAGATAAGAAGGATAACCTCTTTTTAGGCAGAGCTTTTATTCCAAAAATGTTTAAATGGCTAATAAGATAGTGTTGGGATAAAGTTTACTTTAAAAGTATATTTAATTCTAACAATGAACTATTCTATGCTCCCTTTTGGTCTGTTAAATATACCATTGAAAGTGTTTAGATATATGTATTTTACAAATGGATACAATGAATAAGCAGTGTTGCACTAGGACAGGATGCATGTTACTGGCAGAGTCCCCAGGCAAAACGAGAGAAAACAAAAGCCTTAAAAGCACCACACCTATGCACTGGTTAGCTGTCATATGTTATATTTTGTTCTTGGGTTTTAGTACACTATAATTAAAATTAACTTTTACCTCTAGCACCCAACTGTTAGACTTGATTTTTAGCACCTGAACGGTAGAGAGGTTGGTAAAATTGTCAGTAAAAAGTCCAAATATGTTTCACCTGGGCCCATGGTTTAGAAGGAATAGGGACAGTTTTAATGTATCCATTTTGTTTTTAAATTAATAAAGACCGCCAGGTATGCCTCTATGTTGACTATCTACAGAACCTTCCAGTTGTCACTGATCATTTATAAAAATATATTTTATGCCATATCACATACAAATAGGTCACATCACCCTCTATAACACCACTATAAACAGAACCAACACTATATATAATAATACAAATTAGTCATCGCTATTATGTTACACACCTCATTCTTTTAGAAAGGAAAAATATGTTTTCGGACTGACATCTGACTGTACCATATTCTATGGCTGATTTTGATTAATTTGACAGAATGATTATGTCCCTTTTGGTATAAATTACAGAGGTATTAACCTCTGCGGTTTGCTATACCATCTGTTGACAAAGTATGACATGCATGGCTGCCTAAAAAAACTCAAAAGGAAATGTGCTGTGCACATATATAAAGTGGGAACACAAGCTAGAGACGTAAGTATAAGAATCTTACCAACTGAACCCAAGGTTCAACAGTGCTAAAATACAACGAAAAAGCTCTGCTGTCTTCCCATGATGCTTAAAGGAATATTATCAGATTAGTTGTGCTAGTACAAATATTTCATTTCTAGATTATAGTAAAGGAATGGAGTTTGTACAAGACTTGGTGAATCTATACAACCTCTACAAATGATGGCACAATTCAGAAATGTGAAGTCATGGGAGATATAGAGGGTGGTCCATTTCACATGACAACAGTTCTCTCTTGGCACAATGATTCAAGGGATAGAGCTGTCCCTGTTACATAAAAGTCTACTAATCTCAATAAGACTAAACTAAAACTGTATCAATCTATATTGGAAAAAAGTTAATTTAACAATTCATATAGTCAATGATGGCAGGGAGAATGTGTTACTGCTCTCTCCTTATCCGTTTTGCAGGGTTAGGTATTTTTCAATAATACATTTACATGGAGAAATATTAGTGTTCAGAGAATAAGGTGATTATGATTATTCCATTTTTTCATCTACCGTATATACTTGAGTATAAGCCGAGTTTTTCAGCCCATTCTTTGTGCTGAAAAATGCCCCCCTCGGCTTATATTCGAGTCAGCGTCTCGAGCACTGAGGAAAGTGAGTACGCTGGTGCATAAGCGGTCCTATCTCTCTCAAATTTGGAGTCCTTAATATTTAACAGATCCCTATTGTAGGATTCAACCTGCAAATTCAAATCAGTGACCGTTTTCTCAAAGTCAGCATTGTGTCTAAAGGTTTCAAAATCATTGCCCAGGGTTTTCAAGAGTTCATCCGCCTCTTTTAATTCTCCTGTGTAATATTCAATAAGCATCGTTAACATGTTACGACTACAAATATTGAAGTTGTATTCCCACTGCTTCTGAACAATAGATTTACAATTATCCTCTGCTAATATGAATGGGTTAAATGATCCGTAGTACATGATATGTAGCCCTGTACCCCCTTTTCCACTTACAGAGCTAGGTTATTGTTTTTCTTTTAAATAAATATTCATGTAATTTTATTGGTATCTATCTTCATTTTGTACATTTACCAGTAGCTGCCTCATTTCCCACCCTAGGCTTATACTCGAGTCAATATTTTTCCCCAGTTTTTTGTGGTAAAATTAGGTACCTCGGCTTATATTCGGGTCGGCTTATACTCGAGTATATACGGTAGCTAAAGGATTGTGTACTTTATTATTTATGGCCTTTGTTGTACTTTGTTTCACTTCTCTTATTAAATTAGCTAATTCTTCCATAGGAGCCACGTGTCCCACCACAATAGGTAATCATTCATGCCAAAACCATAAAATAATGATGGTAGACATTATGAAACATATTTATAAAATCAGTGAAATGGACATTCACTGCATGTATTTCAATGACTGTAATTTCAAGCATATGCACCAGGAAGAATTACCTGCAGTGAATGGCACATTGCCACTTTAGCTCCAAATTAAAAGTTTTCCAAAGATTCAGTTAACTCAGCAGAATATGTTTTAGGGCTTTTTTGCCCACTTTTATTCATCCAAATGTAGACGTAACACAGTGTTCTGCCCTAGCAAGGGTTGTTAAACATAACCATGAATAAAAATATATCCTGGCTGTTTGTCACACAGCTTTGTATTTTTCCTCCTTAAGACAAAACTGCCCATCTCAGCTGACCTGGTTCCGACAGTCACCAGACTGGACGTCCAGCCTACTCACACACAGATGACAGCTTAGCTTAGGCATACAGGTCTGTTCAGACAGGGACTATATCTGTCCCTCCTCATCTACACCAAACTGTGTTACTTGTCTGCTATCAAATGTTGTCTTCACTATCTACAGCTTATGTAAGATATCAATAATGGAGGAGAGACAATGCAACTCCAGTACACATGCGCAGTTGTTATATCATTAGTCAACCAACGGATGAAGAGAGAAGATGACGCCACTGGTATGTGGAGTGATGAGGGTGAGTGTGTATCATGCATAGCTGGAGAAGGCCATATTAGGGGGTAAGTTTGCAATAATGAGAAAGTATGCTGCTAAAACAATGACCATTTCATTACGTAAAAGGATTTATAAAATGACAGACCTGTTAAAGAAGATCAATACTTACCTTACCCACTGACTGCATTGCTGAATGCTTCTGAACTGAAGAAATGGTCCTGAGAAGTCTGCTGGCAAACCAACACTATGCATGTGTTGATCTCCTGGGTCCATGACACCTCTCACTAGTTCTTCATTTTCAACATACATTACTGTAGCATATGGTAGTAGTACAGAGGTTTTTCTTACCTCTACTTTTCCTTTATATTAAAGTGACACTAAACTCGGGAGTTAAAGGAGAACTATGAGGTGAGTGATTTTCACTCATCTTCATAGTTAGAGCCCACCTGTGACAAAGAAGCTGTCACAGGTCGACTCTATTGATCGGGAAGTGAGCAGAAAAATGCAGCCGATCTGCTCACTTTCTGATCATCTCCCTGCAGTGACTGTTAGTCACCGCTCCCCGCAGGGATTCCCCCCTCTACTCTCCGATCCTCCAGCACTGAGGGGAAGGGGCGGGCACAGCTGGCTCTGCCTCTAGATTGGCAGAGCCAGCTGTCACTCATGTAGCTGGGTGGATCACGACAGTATTGGCAATAGCCCACCATATACTGAGTTTTGGGTCATGGGAGGAGGTTAGTATATGTCCTCCCGTTACCCTAAAGAGAACTATGGGGAAAAACACTTACCCCATAGTTCTCTTTTAAAACCTAAAAATGCATGCAAGTACCTTAACTATTAACAAAAATGTATTGTATAATGGTATCACTCGGCTGTAGGTCCTCAAATCATCTCTAGATTCGTGCTGACACAGTCCTTCCTTCTGGAGGGTAGCTACTTGTGTTCCCTATGGTCTCCGAGTGTGTTGTAAAGTAGCCACTTCCTCAAGATGGCTCCTATGATGGACTACAATCTAAATACAAATTAGTAAACTAATTGTGAGATTGCAGTCCTTCTCGGCAGTAGGTTTGGAGCGGTGGCTACTTTACAACACACACAGGGACCATGGGGAACAAAAGTAGCCACCCTCCAGAAGGAAGGACAGTGTCAGCACCAATAGAAATGATTTGGTGATCTACAGCCGAATGATGCAAAATAAGCTACATTTTTGTTAATAGTTAAGGTACTTGAATGCATGAAATGGATGAAAACAATGCAGAAATCTATTTCTACTGGAAAGCATTCTGAAGTACAAATCAAATACAAACATAAATGGAAACCTTAAACTTGAATGAAAGAGATGATAAACCTTTATGTCTGAAAAGAAGTATGTCATGCATCTCAAATACAGCTTTGAAACATTAGGAAACACGATATAAGGAATGAAAAATAATCCTATGTTTACAAGATCATTTATTTGAGAGTATGATCATAATAAGAAGAACACACACGTCCCTTGTCAGCACGTCTGGGATGCAGGATATCCAGAAGTGTTATTAAGTATGACACAAAGTGCCTCGGCTTAGGCGGTTTCTAAGGTGTTTTGGCATTAACATGTTAAAGGACCAATAAACCCTGAAATACAAACCCAGCTTTGTTTATTAGGAAAACATTCCCACAGCAGCACAACACATTTTAAGTTTCACATTTAAATTAAGGAAAAAAGTATGAAAAGACTAGACTATATATATTTTTTTCATGTTGAGTAGTGAGTGAGAAAGGGTCAGGTTTTTTTTATTGTTGTGTGTTTCCCTGCTGGGGAGATTCATCCTTTCTATTTGCCCTGGTGATCATTGTCTCCGGTTACAGAAAGTGAAGACATTTTTGCATTTTCTCAGTAACAGGAGGTGTGCGGAAATCCTCCAAACGTGACGACCTGTTCTGGTGACAAATGTTTAACCCCTTAATATGGAAGGTAAAACCAAAACTTAACTTCTGAACCCGGTTTTGCAACTTGCCATGTGTTAGTACAACAGAACATATCTTTGCAACTACTTAGTGTATCCAGATGAATTATACCTCATTTGGTTCAAAAATTATCTCCTGATTTTTTTTTTAATCAACTGAAAACTGGCCTGAAATAGTTAAAACATCACTTTTAAACTTTAGCTGTATGTTTCTTGACGCTACCATGATTCACCACCATAAAATCAACCCAAAACAAATAATCCTACTGTACTTCTGACATGCAATGATACCGCTTATGTGTGCATTATTTGTTGTTTGTGCACATAGTAGGGCTCATAAACATATTGTGCATTTTATTTTTTTCTTTAATGCTAGCTAAACGCACTGACACTAAATATAAAACTTTTTTTTCTCTAAAACACACTGTCACTGACCCTAACACTAACCCAGATTCAAGCCCTGATCTTTATTTTTTTTATCAGATTTTTAGCTGCTACTTCAGCCAGGAGAAAAATTATACAATGGGTGGAATTTATCACAGCGATTGCGACAATTTTAGCCTCTTAGATAATTATTTTATGTGCAAATCTGTCTTTTATCATGTGCGCCTATTTTGACCAGAGCTTGCACTTTTTTTCCGATTACGCTTATTTTGCTAAATTTTACAACTGTTTACATCTGCACTTGTTCTGCGGTTGTCTACAACTGGAGCATCACCGGACAAAACAATCGCAACTTAAGAGTCCCAATGACCACTTCTGAAAGAAGTGACAGTTAAGCTTTTTGCCATGAGTTACTAGTCTTTCCTGGAGTCTAACCTCATTTATAAACAACATTACACCACTAACATAAGTTAGAGGAGAAACCGTACAGAGGAGGGTTCTAAAACAAGTGATTACTTTTATTGGCTATCACAGCATCCAGTCTCAGTTTTTAGTTAGTCTGACACCAATCTCTTAGAAGAATAATATAGAAGAAGATTAGTCAACCTGTTCTGTTTGGTACATTGTTATTGTTAGCACACAAACAATGTCAGTGTAAAGCTTTTATGCAGCACTATAGCTGTCCTATCACAACTTACATAAACAATATGCTATAGAGCAGAGATGGTCAACTTTCTTGATATAGGGTGCTTCAAGAAGGTCTGACATCAAAGGTCTGACCACAGGCATGCTACAGGAGTGGACGGCGCATGTTTCCCAGCGAGTGGACGTAAATGTATGTGATTCTTTTTCTACATTACTCTCCCCCTCCATTGCCGCGCTTCCCCCCTATGCCAGTTATCCCAGACTCCGCTGTCCCCCCTGCGAGCCTGGGACCGGCACAGCGGTTGCCTATGCTGAGAAGGAGGAGAGATCAACATTCCCCCACCGCTGATCTCTCTCTTCCTCTATCTCTAAAGAAGGAAGTGATGTGTATTACATTGTTTCTGTCCTTTCTCTGGCTGCTATAGATCTCTGTAATACGCGTCGGGTGCGCCTACGTGTGCGAAAACAACGATTACGCCACACATGTTACATATCGCTGCAAACGCGGGAGTGTGAGTAATAATTTTAGGGCCATTAATCACTGCTAACACTAAACGGATGAGCGGTAAAAGCTTTTAAAGCATTGCCTATGGCCACTTTTAGGCATTGTCTATTTACCTCACCTGACCCTGTCTTTAATATTTTACCAGAAAATTGGGTAATGGTAAATGTTTATAACATAAAGTAGGGAAAGCTCTTTTTTTGTAGTACTGCAAAGTACTGCAGCGCTGAATACTGAAAAATGGCTTGGACAGGAAGGGGGTTTAACACCCCGGTCAGCAAGTGGTTAAAAATGGCTTGTGCCACTTTTGATCTCAGCAAGATCCATTATAAAAGCTTAGCGGTAAAAAAATAAAAAGAGAAAAAGGATGACAGCAAAGAAACAAGGACGATTGCATGAAAGAAACCAGACCCATTTAACTACTACAAGCAACTCTAACAATTTTTTTTCCACTAGCCTGAGTAAGTACTGTATGCAGGGTCTCTGAAAGCACACAATAAATGCCAAAGGGACAAAGGCTGGGCACCAGTGCAATAGAGGCAAGGTACTCTTTACATTGCAAGTATTTGCACATTAACAACTTTGACGTATGTGAAATCCTGGAACTTGGGAGGTAAAGAAAACTTAAACTTCTTCTATGGTACTATCAATATAACTGTTTATTTAATTTTTAAAAATTGTTTTTTTTTAATTCCCTAAAAATAAAAAAATAAATCAGCTCTTTGATTACCAAAATATCCTGCACATAATAATAAAGGATTCTCAAACAGTAGATTTAGTCGCCTGGAAAATCCTTTGACTGCACCAGTAATCTTTGAGCACATCAGGTAAAATGTTGATACACTGCAACGACAAACTATAAATAAATATTTTCTCCTTACCTTCCAGCAAACACTCCGGAACCTGCTGCTTCTCAGCTGCCCATTAATCCCTTTCAGACGTATCGTTGCCAAATAATTGCTGTTTACAAAAAGTTCTTCCCACTCTTTGCTGCGAAGGTAAAAAAAAAAAGCAAACTTGGATATATTATATTTAAGTAACATATGACAGCAACATGCTGTATTTCACAAGCAGTTATAATATATTTAAAAAAAAAAACATTTGTGGACAAAAAAATTTAACACTGATTTTATTCAAGCTCGGTTTTAAAACGCATGGTTGTCTTTTTTGGACACATTTCTTCTCAGGATTTAATGAATATGTAGATCGCTATAATTATGCCAGCTACTGAAATTCATAATGCCTATGGAGGCCATTCCATTTTCTCGAAACTGTTGGTACTGCAGTTCAGTGAATAAACAAGAAAAATGAATATTAATATGGGCATGATCGTATTTCCGTTCGCACGCTGTAGAGAGACGCAACGGGCAGAATTATTGAGAGCATCTCCAGCTAATAACTATTAGCTCCTCGATAAAATGTTTGCTTAAATTAACCCCCCCCCCCTTCTTCTTTTTTATCTTAACAGCAGACGGGCTGTTAAACATAACAGAGGATGGCATTATTTAACCGTTAGTACTATTTACCACCGGAACGGCTCATACTTATTTCTACATGAGCAGGTTTAAATTTTTAACAGGTGCAGGCAAATTTAAATAAAAAAGCATCAAAATGAAAAAAAAAATCCTCACTGTATAAACTGTTAAAAAAGGCAAGCTTGAGCACCTTGCAATACCTATGGCTGACTAGATAAACAACCTAAATATGCCTCCCAGGCTTACAGACACAAGGGGCCTAACACCTGTGCCTCATTAATATACAAGTAAATCTGCTCTACTGGGAAATGATTGGAAATTAATTGTCCCAAACCATTTACAGAGTTTGAACAAAAGAACTTGACTTGGCTTCTCTTCTGTGTCTCTGTGACTCGCATGCCATAAATGACACATCATCAGCTGGAGAATGGTATGCAATGACCTGACTAGCTGATGCTTGTAACTTTGTGTGTACAATTAGGAAAGCACAAATCGAGGTCACGTTCCTCCACGGGAAAAAAAAAAAAATATGAGTACTTTCTTTATCACCCGGTAAAATCTTAGATGTCATTTGAGTTTCCAACTAATCATTTTTTATGGGTTTCAGCACCACTTCTTTTTTTTATTAATAAACTTCTGATAATTTTTTCCCATGTATTAACATTTTTATTATACCAAGAGATATTTTTGAGGACAGCTAATAATATGACCAGGATAAACCAAGTATATGCCTTGCCTATCAAAGTTGAAAATACAAGTCAGACTCTTACAGCCCCCTTACTGCCCATTTAGACAATTATGCTTCACTAGGAATGCCTGAATGATGATGCCCTTCTGTACAAGTGTTGCCAGCTTGTTGAAGGATTTCCCTGCAAGTGGTCTGAATCCTGTGTACCACTATAGAAAAGCAAATCCACTTATGTTACATCGAGGTGAAAATGACAGTAGCTTCCAGCACTCCAAAAACTCAATCTAGGATTATAAGATATATATCTGTCCATCACTCTCACGCAGATATCTGTCCAACGAGTGGATTATCTCAAGCAATCCAATTAAATCTGGACTTTTGGTGCACCATTTAAACCAGCTGATATTGGAAGCAGTTCCTTGATATTTATTGTGTGGGCATATTAATGACCTGAATAACTGCATGCCCTGGGCTCCTGTGGTTAGATTTTTCAATAAGTGTGTTTTAAGATGGTCTGCCTTGTGTTTTTTTTTATAGAGTAATAGTTGGGATTTTGGAATCAATATATTTGTTTTATATATATATGTATATATATATATGCAAAAATTATATATATATCAAAAAGTTATCAATAGAAAAATAAAGATTATAAAATATAAATGAAAAATGGATTATTCTGGTGAAAGTTCCACAATTTTTCTTCACCCGATCTGGAGCCCCCCAAGCGATGGTTACTCACCAGATGGTATATGGACAGCAAACCCCTCTCAATAGCTGTAATTCCGGTCCATCAGCTCACCGATACGTGCAAGGTTCCCCGGCACTCTAGCGGATATCCCCAGGTATCCTTACCCGTCGC